ACCTATACGCTTGATTATCGTGCTTCAAATGTATTCCGATTATTGATCTCACCAATAACCCATCCTATCTGTACTTACTTGACTTTTATACTACTCGCGACCCCCGCTGTGTTAATTCGCAATTGAGAGAGTACAACGCTTTGCTTCCCATTTCATGCAGGTCATTAGTGCCACTGTGACAAATCCGAGAATTTCGCATCCCACGGAATAATAGCACTCTGACCTCTGTAACATGTGACTGCGTTTGCACTATGTCGTAACACCCGGGTACTGCAACGTTGCCAGTGAGTGAATTGACAGCTTCAAGTGGGGCTTCATGCCTGCTTTCTGCGTGCTTCTTCCACCGTTTGCAGAGCAATCTTCAGATTGGCATCGATTATAACTGGTGGTTCACTAAACAGCTTGGTCGGTTATCGGCACGTATTCAAAGGAGACTCTCACGTGCTTTAACTTTCCGTGAATTGAATCATATATGTCTATGAGAAAGTACTTACAGTCTTTGAGGATCAACCCTGGCACGAATACCTTGTTGATAAAGAGAGAATTCTCTAGGGCATCCAGTCAAGATACGCGTGGGATCAGCAATCAAAATACTGAACCCGAAATAATGTCTCCTAAAGCCAGGAGTGTGAACCGCACTTCACGTTTCTTTCTAAACCACTACTGGAAGATTTGGAACAGACTTCGAAGTGATATCAAAAAATGCTATAAATTTTGAAATTGTATGCTTGCGATTAACAATCAGTTAACCGTCCAAAACGTGGGTAATATGTTCGGGACATCACAGTCTCCAAGTAACGCTTTCGAAAATGGTATCAATGGTGCCTGCGTAAGTTTTCTAAACACATATACATAGCATTTCGGACAACAGTCCCCTTTCATTACATTTGTTTTCTCTCGGCCCAAATATCTGTCATGTGATTGTGAAGAATGCTGATTCACTGGCAGGAAACAAACATCAGAACAATTTCGACTAATTGTGTTACCTAATTTGAAATGGCGCACATGATTACTCCTAAGAAAGTATTAATGCAGTGTCATGGAGACGCTGTAGCATTATGTGATCTATTCCTTCTAGGGAACAGCTTCTCGCATCGTCGAAGAACATACCATATATTTATTTATATAGCCCAGCTCATCTTCCACAACCATGCCAGTTACGAACTATGCAGAGGACAACAGTTAGACCCACGACCTAATTAGTAATCCAAAATCCGTCCGTATAGCTTTTACATACAGTTTCTTACACAGTTGCCAAACGGAAATACCTAGCTAGTGGGGCTAACTGCTATCCTCTGCACAGTTCATAACTGGCATGGCAGGGGAAGATGCACCGGGCTATATAATACGCAAATCTCAATCATGAAAGTCCGCGGCCGTTATACATTGCTAAGTGGCACTAGCCGCTGGCATCCGGAAGTCAAGGGGTCGGAACCCGGCAGGGGTCCGAGGAAGGCGCACCACTGATGAGACCCAGAATGGCAAATAGCGCTACCGGGTACTTTTCCTAACGTGTCAAAGCCTGCTGACTGAGAGTGGACGGTGAGGAATTAATTCCGCACAGTCTGGAGTATGAACCTTAGGTCGCCGGTTCGAATCCGCGTAAGGGCGGGCGCCCTCCCAATATACTTAGCCCACGTGCGACCGCCGGTGGCCGCCTGGCAGCGAAACATCGATACAGTATGCCGGCGTACTGCTGCTGACCTCTATACTAACCGGGCCAAATGGTAAGGAAAGGAATGACGCAGTAACTGCTGGCTACCCTGATAAAGACACGCGTATTTCTCATAACCATGTCTTCGGTATATTCCGCTGCTACCGACACTCGGGTCTAAATGGAACGGTAAGGTCATGCCGCCGATCATTAAACTTGTGTGGATACATTTCTGTGGGTCTATGCAAATATGCACTGTTCGGATGTGGCACGTAGCCTACCTCCATTACATTGAACCAGCGATGGGAATCGGTACACTCTATGGTTCGATACACTAATGTGGGCACGTCTAACTTTATCTTCACAGAGTGTCTACATCATCCGCACCAATGGAAAACGCCATGATAGCCGGCTGAGTTTATCGATATGCAGTTTGTAGATGCTGAGTAACCTGATGACCGAGGTGCGAACCAAGGTCGACTGTAATTAGACCTGACTCGGGAGGCACGATAGGAATCAAAACGTGCTAGCTCCAAGCGACTACGCAGTCTAAGGGCACAGGCGCAAAAATAGCGATTAGCATACCAGACCAAATAAGATAGCAATTAGTCGGAGTGTCAAATATGTAAACAAGAGAAAATAGATCGATAAATTTAGCCAATGCAGATGTTCTCTAGTCGTGGCTACGTTGACGAACATGATGCGATGCAGGTTACGTCTGACAAGACTGTCCACAAAAAAGCAGTCGCAGACTTACTGAGCTCTTATCTACCAAGGGCTTTTCAAGCTCCATCCTCACCTAGCGCAGTCATCACTCGTTCGAACTTTCCGTATTCAGTGGTCACATTCTTACAGAACTGTTTTCTACGGATTGTGAATCCTGCAACCCAACCATTTTTAGCACGCCTCCTGCTCATATTCACGTGCGCAACTTTGTTTTTAATAACTCATAACTGCGAAATTGCAATCAATAAAGGAATCTTTGCGCTATCTGGTGATCTCAGAATAACTCCTAAAAGAACATTGTTAAGGAAGGTACAACCCAATTGGTGCCTTTGGACTACATTCGGACACCCGTCGCATTCAGTCGCTGACATCCACCCTCACCTTCAAGGAGAATCGGCTTCACGATGAGAAAAAGTTAAACGAAAAATAAGTAGTTAATCGTGCGACACCGTGATTGTTAGGATAGCACGAACAAAAACGCTAATATAAGGTTACGACGATACTCATATACATCCAAAGATTTATGTGAACGACAACTCATGGATGCATGAATGGGCTCTAGTATTTCATAGTGTCCGAAAGCAGAGCAGAGCAGCAGAGAAACAGGTTTAAAAAGATAGCAGATAAGAAGAGCTGCAAGGTGGCCGGGGTGCAAATGTCAATGTCAAAAATAACCGTCGCCATCAAAATGTACCGTGTATCTATGGCCCCACCATAGTATACACATAAGCCCAAACGTCATACTGACAATGAGCACAGTGTTTCTGTGTGCTACGTCATCTCGCGATGAAGCCGATTTAAATCGTGCAATGCAAATGACTAACTGCATAAACATTTGCGATTTCAATCATGATCAACTACAGGCTAGAAGGGCTCTAACTCGAAAGTGATCCCGAGAAATAGCAAACTCAAAGGGACAAAATCAGGTGCCATTGAAACCTGCTATAATGTGCGAATTACTTCAACTGGAGCACTTCGGTCAGATGTCGTGACCTAGTTTCAAAGGGTGGCGAGCAAAAGTGATGGGGGTTAGTCCTCATAAGGCTGGTCGATGCGTTCACCGCGTCCACGGCGGCTTCTTCCACTAATCAATCGTAAGGCTTTCAACCGAATTTGTCATAGCTACTGGAACAAGCCTACGTTGCACATAATTAGTGCTCACGGTGGGATCAAGAGTAAGACGAGGTCGTGTGGTGGTTGTTTGATTGGTCAAACTGCTAATACACTAAATGAGCTACTAAATCTCCCTACTACGCAATAAGGACGAGATCAAGTTTCTACTTGCGTTTCCGAGGATGAATGGCGTGCGTCCTTTGGTACCTCAAGAACGAGGCGGCCACTGCTCTACCAATCTTCGCAAATGGAATTTCCACCAGGTAGGGTAAAATATGGTTTTCTTTGTATCTAAGGGAGCGGCATGTGCCTGTTGTCTTCAAAGTGCAAAGTACTGTTGCAAGAGTAGACCGATACGATACAAATTCTAGCACTGACCGAATAGCCGCCAGTAGCCATTGATCAGTTCACGTACCGTGACAGATGTGTCACTGGTGCTCACATCACTGACCATTTCAATTCGCTTTTCATCGATGCACTGGGCTTTACAGATACCGAACCATCTGTGCAGATGGTGTGATGTAAGCATGTCAGCGAATAGTGTGGTGTATAACTCTGCGACAAGGCAGGTATTACAGTGTAAATCAGAGACATGATGATGCCGCAATGAAAGCATGCAACGACTGGCTGCGTTTGACCACCGGTGCTCGCGAAATATTGATCACCTCTGGTCGGAATGCCGGGTGGGCAATGCAGATGTCTGTCAGCTGCTTTTGTCAGGATGCCCTCTGATGCATCGCCGGAGTATGTGCTGTAACTGAATTGATTACGTTGGCCAGATCATGTCCTCCGTACGCTCAGTAATCAGCTTCCACGGTGTGCAAAATGCACTGGCGGTGCACCCTTTTGACAGCGAATCCGAGGTGTCCAGATAATGACGCAGCGTGAGAGCATGAAGTAGTGGACTGGGAGACTTGGTCAGATTGCTGCGTGTCGTCCTAGTGGATAGAGCCTGCCCATCAGTGGCTTGGGACTTAATCGTACATGCCGCGGTCTCACAGTAAGTAATGATCCTGCATTAGACTTCTTGCATCCAAATAGTAAAATTCCACCCGAATTAGCTTTACAACGTATTCTAAGTTCTACATCCTATTATTACCTCGTCGTTACATCTCGAAAACACTGCGCAACACGACTCATTTCGCGCTTTATTCCATTTAATGTGTAGGCAATATCAGGCCTCGAACTCAGGGCCATTGGAATGTATCCTTATCCGTTTAGTGAACGCGTGATGAGGGGTAACACTTGGCACAACCGGAAACTCATCCACCAACTATATAACCACATAAAGAGCCAAATGAACTGATTCACTAACAACATTTCATGGTATCGATTTGTGAAACTGAACTATATGTAAATAAAAATGTTTCCAGGCAATACGAGTAACAAAAAGAAGGGCTATTGCTGCCAGCAGGCTCGATGTTACGAAAGCACGCGATCCCAACGAACATGCTACAACATAAGCGATAAAATCAAGATTAACTCGCATTAGCAAATGGACACTCACTCGAATGAACATTTTTAATGTGTCTCCGCAAATTGTCATTCCAAGGAAACGATCTGCTACAATGTTCACACTTATAAATTCGCGGATCTGCAACAGGGAACCGGAAGTCGTCAGTTACAGGTGAATCGCACAGAGAAAACGGACAAAGAATAACGAATGATTTCTTAGGATGGGTGCATCTAAATGCAATAGAATAGCGACTCAAGTATAGCCGGGAAATTAGAGGATCCTCAAAAAGCATCGTGCATGTTATCTGAACACCTGCAAGCTAACCACCAATACAGCTCGAGTCATCATCATCATCATCATCATCATCATCATCATCATCATCATCATCATCATCATCATCATCATCATCATCATCATCATCATCATCATCATCATCATCATCATCATCATCATCATCATCATCATCATCATCATCATCATCATCATCATCATCATCATCATCATCATCATCATCATCATCATCATCATCATCATCATCATCATCATCATCATCATCATCATCATCATCATCATCATCATCATCATCATCATCATCATCATCATCATCATCATCATCATCATCATCATCATCATCATCATCATCATCATCATCATCATCATCATCATCATCATCATCATCATCATCATCATCATCATCATCATCATCATCATCATCATCATCATCATCATCATCATCATCATCATCATCATCATCATCATCATCATCATCATCATCATCATCATCATCATCATCATCATCATCATCATCATCATCATCATCATCATTACACGTTGGCTGGGGGTGGGAAACACACACTTCAGGTAATGTGCTGCAATACAAACAAGTAAGACATTAAGTAGTATAGACTTAAGAGCTATAACAAAGTACCATATTGCTAATATCACATTTGTACTCTTTGTTGGAGGGTAAAGCTAAAAGGAAAGGAAGCGACAAAGACACTCACGACACAAACGCCACTGTAATCGACTCTTCGACATATCAGATAGCGTATCCAGTCAAACGTGTTCATCGTTATTCGATCCACAGCCAGGCAGTCGAAAAGCACCAACCGACGCCAACTACGAAGTGAGGGACTTCCTCCCTCTTGACTAACTCATCGTTTAGCCTTCCCTCCTCTTCGTTCATCCATATCTCCGGCGCGCAAACGACGCACGCCGCTGGAGTCGGTGGACTGGCATGCGCAACAGGTGGCCCAGCCACGGAAGCCTTGTGTGGGTGATATAACGGTGCAGAGCGGTTCACTCTCCGGCACTGCACCAAATAAGCGACGCCGAACACGCGTATTGCTCTCATGGTGATCCCATCAGACATGAGCTAAGCTGCGAAGGCGGCGATTATCAAAGTTAGCTAGCCTCTTTATGTCTGTCGATTTGATGGGCCGTTTTGCAACCGCACAGGAGGTTTATACCGAGGGCTGCATTATCAACTCTGCCCATCAGAGCGAGAGTAATGTCACGCCGGCGCCACAGATGGCGAAGATTACTAAAAGCACACCGAGGCTTTTGCTATGCGGTTCGTGATTTTATATTCCATTCCACTGGCGCTGATATAGCTACCCAGATAATTAAATTTATCGACGACATCTAACTTAGCACAGCCAAGGGTCAGTGCGTGCACAAGTCCCGTCAATCTTGGATAAGAACTTTGCATTTCGATGGTGCAAAGTATAGCCCGAAACGACTAACAGACAGAGATAATTAATGCAGTGCAGCTTGGCACGTTCTGGGGTTGTCGTAAATGAGCGCAATGTCATCGGCATACTCCAAGTCAAGAAGTCGGTAAGCAGGGAGTAGCTCCACGCCTTTTTAGTCGTGTCCGGCGAGTGCCGTTTCCATGAGTTCGTCAATAGCAAAGTTACAGAGCAAATGTGACAAAAGGGCAACATTGTTTCACACCGCTGCGGATGTTGAAGATCGGTGAAAGTTTGCCGTAAACTCTCACTGCGCTTAAATGTGTGTACGCAGCGCTTTGATAATGTTTAGGTAATTTTCGGGCATACATATTATGAGCAGACAGTCCCGAAGGGCACATCGATCAGCCGAATCGAAAACCCCTTTGATGTCTAGGAACACGACTACGGTGTGTCGCCAATAAACATAGCGGTGCTCTAACAACTGACATAATGTGGAGATATGGTCAATGTACCATCGGTTACCACGAAACGCGGTTCGCTGCTCGCGCACCTGGCTTTCACGAGTGTCAGTCAGCCTATAAAGGAAGCAGACGGAAGTAACTTAAAAACAATGGAGATAAGGCTGATTCATCGATAAATACTGCATTCAGAAACAGAGCCTCCCTTGAAAATTGGCACTATTACGCAACGAGTCCAGTCTGCCGGGACAGTCAACTGCTCCCAAAGAGCGGGGCCCAAATTGGAAGAGGGCTGGATGAAGTCGATCTGCTCTGGCGGCTATGTTCATTTTCAAACGTCTGGTCGCACCTTCGAATTCTGCACGTGTACTTTAAATAGACACTCCAAATCTATCATTAGACTTTGTGTCAAACGTTGCCCCTCGTGACCCAGTGGCTTAGGGATAGCGGTCACATCTAACATCCCAATAGTTATGAGTTCGATGCCTGCGAACTTTATATGATGAGATGTAATAACATCCAAACGCCTCATAGTATTATGGTGTAATCGGGCGGGCAACACGTAATTTCTATCTGCTACTCAAGAAGTTCGGCCCAACGCTCCAAGCGCTTTGGCAAGCTGTGCATCGGCAGTCCGCTTTCGTTGCATATGATCTCGCTAATGGAAGGTTTCCTGCTGCCCAGTACTCGTATCATACGGAACAATTTTCGATGGTTACCAAGGGCAGCGGCCGTTTCCATCTCCGAGGCAGGGTGTGACCATCAAGCTTTGCGGTCTCTCTTCCGGCTAGCACCTAGTTTCTCCGTGGAAGCTGTGCTAGTCTCATTGTACTCGATTCCAGCCGAAACAGGTCGGTGAACATCCATGCGTACTAGAGACTGTGTAGACACCCAACGTCCAGCTTGGCAATAGTATGCACCACATGAAAACATGCCTGCTGCTAATAACATCTGGCGGATATGCGATCAGTGATCTTCGACGGTGTTCAATGGACGCTTACTCAGCCCGGATGTCAGCGCACTTTGATACACATTCAGAACACCTAGCTTCGTCAGCTGGCTGATGTCAGTCCGTTCACAGCGACGTTGCGGACGTCCACCGAAACGCATCCGGAGGTCGGAGCAAACAAGTGCGTGGTCAGAGTCCACGCTCGTGCTCCAAATCGAGCGACAGTTTTGGACACAGCCTCTCCAGCGTTAAATGATCGCGATATGATCGATTTGCGTCCAAGGCTGGTGGGAGGCTTGTGGGAGCCAACTCACCCGTCGGCGGGTGCTGCGTTAAAAATTAGTGCTCCCGAGAACGAGACGAGCATCTTCACACAAGTGTAGCAACCGCTCATTGTTATCATTACGTGAGCCTACGCTTTGTGGTCCACCCAGAGGAAGCTCATTAGTGGACAATTTCCCAACTTGAGCATTCTGATCCTCAGCAAGCACGACAGTGTCCCTGATTCTTCTGTGGCGAAGGACCTCGTTCAGTTGACAAAAATGTCGTTTCTTTCCCAGGCATCGCTAGAGCTGGTGGATGCGTAGGCTACAATGACAAGCAAGCAGTATTCGGCTTCACGCAAATTCGATGCTTTGAACGAGCCAGCCAAGCTGAACACGCCCATCCGGCTGTTCAAAGGGACTTAATTGATCAAGGCAGATTCAGTGCGGGGATAAGAGCAGTTCCCACACCAGATTGACAGGCATTTGGAGCCGCTTCATCTCCGGACAAACACAATGAGAAACTACCGCCAGTGTCGCACGTATGGGATCGCAGAGTAATCATAGGACTCGAATATTGCAGGCGAGTTTCCGACAAGCAGCAGACATTCATTGATAGGGTCTCTAATGTCAGAGCAAGTGCGGCCTGTTTGCCAGTTTGCAACAAAGTGCACACATTGAGGCATGCCGGTTCTAGGGTGGATTGAGGGCTATAAATAGAAGCAGAGGAACTGAGGTTGTCCCTTAGGCTGGACTTGAACTTACAGACTAGACCGGAGCGACGCCTTGCGACTGCGTGTGAATCGGAATTATAAGACGAACGATTACTGAACAAAGGTCGGAGAGGACCATGAATTGGTGGGTCGAAAAGAGAGTGGATAAAACTGAAGTTGGAGCGGGACTCCGAGGATACAAAGCGTAAGAGGGGAATAAGAGGACTGGATGGTCTCACTAGTAGCATCCAAACCCCCTATCTACCCTGCTCTATGGAGCAGATAGGGCGCAGTGTAACATCCACCGCGACGGCCAGAATAACAGGAAATTTTATGAAAGAAGTTGCATAGTATTGGGTGGACAAAATACTGTCAGGCTGACCAGGATTAGACTGGAGACCAGTTAATGTTGTCAGCTAAAGCCTTTGGTTCAAACAACTGACCATAATGCAGCTGAATTTTGGCACTGGACTACAGTGAGCACAGTTTGTGGAGTGAGGAGCCACCCACACTTCAACTTCTCACAGGGAGGGCCAGGAGATTGAGCTTGTCAGACCTTTAGCTATTGGCAAAACTGGTACGGGTGGCTCCGAAATAGAGAAACACAGCCCAGTATATCCCAAATGATCGCTGAGGCACGTGAACTATCGTACAGCGTTACGATCCAGTCGCGTCCCGATTGAGGTAATGTGAGAGGAATAAACGGTTTTTATCAAGTGGTTTAGGAAAGGATAGTGCACCGAAGCAAGACGAACGGTACTTGGATTGTGTTAAATGTGATGAACCCCAAGGAAGTCTTAGGGTTACTGTCAGTTGCTTTGTGCGAAACCCAGACATTGACGATTAACGTCCAGGTTCACGGTCACGGCAACTATAGGCACCCCGGCATTTTCCTTTAGGCATACAACTGTAAAGAATGAGAAAGGTTAACCTGAAAACCCGTACCTAATAGGTGTCTAGCGATGGATGGGACCGGCGGTTTGCCTGCTGCTCCTTGTCCGATTGCCTGTTACGTCATCAACTTAACAAACTCCTTCGGATTATGATCTGATTTTCGAGTACCCAGACGATGACCTGTTCTGTTAATATAACCACACCCATGGAGAGAGAATAATCAGTATAATGGATGAGTAGTGGCGCAGACAGGATGAGAGGGTGTGACCAAAGACATAGGCAGTTATCTGGTCGTGTAAATAGGACAGAATTTAGAAGCACTGAATGTACGACTAATAACTGTGTTCACTCATCTTTCTAGTCGCGCCGTTAAGACATTACCGTTGAAGAGTAATTTTAGATAGACATGCATTTATACATGGTAGTTTCTCCTGGTTGATTTTCCTCTAGCAGACGGTGAAATCTAACGAATGCTTCTGGATATCCATTGGCCCGCAATGTCTTTGTGATGAAGGATAATTTCCACTCAATACAATCGGCGTTACACATTCTGTGAGCTCGATTAAACTGCGTCTTGACAAGGTAACGCTTGTATTGGACCAGCTGAAGCTATTACTGTTCTCATACAGCCCAGTGCATGTGGTTTTTCGTAAACCAAGCACCATACCGATGCATCTTCCCGTCTATTCAACACTACATTCAGAAAGCCCAACCAACTGATATTTTGTAATTACCAGATGAAACCATCGTTGAGATAGGTGTTGTTGAACACAATAAGAACACACTGCAGGTCGCTGTTGTTAGCAATAACAGCGGTTACTCCTGAATCGGAAAGTGGCTCGCATAAAGGGGATCAAATATTTC